AACGTGAACGTCGAACGTCGAGCGCAGCTTACAAGATAGCGCGCTCGACGTTCGACGTTCACGTTCGAGAGATAAAAACTTCGGCCGCAACCTCTCTATTAATTAATTAAAAACATTACACTTATTCAAAGATCATTCTTCGGTTTAAAAAAGTGAAAAATGTATGTTCGAGATATAATTTTGAAGCTTATACATCGGGTTATTGTAGAGAGTTGTTAAGGTTCCACTCATTACAAAAACGAAAGGCGTAGTTCTTTCTTTTAAAAAAAAAACCTTAATTCTAACGGAAAATATTGCTTTGAAGAAAAAAAAATGAGGTTAGTTTGAGTGTAGACAACACAACTGATGCGAATCTAGGCGTAAATTCACATTCATCTGTAGTATTTGAATCAAGCAAGTGTCAGTTCAAATATTTTTAAAATTAATTATCATTACTAGTCACGATCTACAAAGGACAATAAGTCAGATCCTTATCTACCAAGTATTTTATCTTCGTCAGAGTATTGGAATCCGCCTGTTATTCAAGGTTATGAAGTATATTATAAGCTACCTTTCTTTTTTTTTATTTAGTTCTATACTTTATTATAGTATAAGATATAAAACAATGTATGCAACAGGTAAATTATTCAAAGTATTAACTCATTAGCATAAGCAAAAATAATGTTTAATTAAAGCACGCTCTATTTATAAAATGGTTTCGCTTATGTATGGCCTATTAAGGTACTATACTTTCTGTATAAAAAAATTCGTATATTTATTATATCTTAACAAGAAAATATGGATTATTTTCGCAACTCATTGTAAAATAATTCGATATCTAAGTGACCCGAGAACAAGTATTCCAAAGTACTAAAATAAAAGCATTTCGACGACCCAAATACGAAGTAACTGATGCTTGTCTATGGGGAAAGTATATTTTACAATATTGTGAATTTATTTATTTAAAGGGGAGGAAAAAAAAGGTGAAGATTTTAATTGATTCAATGCAGGTAGCAACGATAACAACGCAACGAGACGGGGGTAAGAAAACGCTTTACTGTTATCAAATGTAAATTGAGATGACAGTTATTAAGGGAAGAAACAGTAAGAAAAGAATGCCGTCAGTCCAGAGAGTAAATATAAAAATAAAAAACTGTTAATACCATGAAACAACCTTGAGTTGTCCAGTTCAACTGGATTTTTACTTCTGCTCTACATTGGATGTGTTCAGAACATTTACACGTAAAATCACTATAATTCGTGAATATTTTCTCCTTGGAAGACTTTACACTTTCATATATTCGATTCACTAAGAATGGTGTTAAGGGTATATTTCGGAACGATTCTTTTATTTTTCTTCTTATCTTTAACAATTATATAGAATAGGCGCATTTATTGATTTTTAACAATGAATCATTATTAATGGTACCGGAAAAATGGTACCGAACTCAACAGGAATAATTACGAGCCCGAAGCTGTGCAGGTGTACTATTAAGTCCCTCGAGGGACAGTTCTGGGTGGGGCTAATACTGACAACTGGTACCGAAGTTTTTCGGGTGTCAGCATGACGTAATTGTCAGTATATGTCTGTAAATGTCCCTGTTAAGATTTCCCACGATCTGTAAATATATACTCTAGATAAATTACAGCATTATTTTCATCCACTTAACAAAAAAATTCCCCTATTCGAAAATAGAGATACGAGTTCCTTTTTCGTATAAAAACTACCCTATCAACTACTACTACAGTACTATGACTTTTTGGATCCATTTCTAAGGAAGTGAAACTTTATGGACGAACTGATAAGTGTTTTTTTAAAAGATATATTGAAAGAACCATCATCAAACTCATCAATACACAAATACATACAGTCGACCCCCCCTATAACACTGTAGATTTTTTCGTTTTATATGAATTCCATGTTGTACGAGTCACTTAGATTTTATATGTAATTAACATAAATGCGATCTGTAAATGACAACTCGGAATACTTAACAATTGTTTGTAGTATACGCGTACTGTAAAGGATTATTAAATGGTTTAACCCGAACGTCAACGGACATCATTATTGCAGATGGAAAGACAACTTACCAAAGGTNACAGTGTTACAGGGGGGTCGACTGTACTCTGTCAAACGATAATCAAAGTTGGTATATCAAATCTTAAGAAAGAAAATACCTAAACAAATAACTTGTAAATGATGTTTTTAGAAAAGGTAACAACGCAAAGCATAAAACCAAAGGTGTGGGTGGCCAACAACCTTGTACGCCTACTGTAAAAACTCGAAGAGCATCGTTATCATTTAAAGCGTACATAAAAAAAATCCCATAATTAATTATTAAAAAATACGTTTAAATGTACACACCTGTATTAATTAGATTCATCTGAAAAAAATAAATAAATAAATTCACCTTCGGAATTTATAACTTAGGTACTAAACGAAGGATAGCATCTAAAACATGACGATGACCTCTCACGTTTTATTATAACAGGATATAGATAAAAGGTAATCGATAAGAAACTCTTTTCTGATAATAAGATTGGAAATAACAACAGTATAGACATATTCAGAATACAAAACATTCCTTTTTTTTTCTATGTAAAAATATATATATAATATATGTAATTAACATAAATGCGATCTGTAAATGACAACTCGGAATACTTAACAATTGTTTGTAGTATACGCGTACTGTAAAGGATTATTAAATGGTTTAACCCGAACGTCAACGGACATCATTATTGCAGATGGAAAGACAACTTACCAAAGGTTCTTGGCCAACCGAGAACCTAGATAGAACCAACGGTTCGTCATCACTATTCACTTTAATACCTGTAGTAGCGTCTACACAATATCTTCCTATGATTTGCATTACAACCTTCAAAATACTTTAATTATGTGTTCGATTTAACTCCACAACGGCGTTAAGTGTTCCTACCTGAACAAAAACGTCCAACTTCGTCTATGTCTCTCACACCGAACTACACAATCTGCCGGACCATCCCTGGCCCCTTCTCTCATTGGTTATCAACCCTGTCACGTGGATGGAAAGTATTTCCCGAAGTGCTTTGCTGGGGTGTTTTGGAGAGTGAAGGATGTTGCTTTGTGTGTATGTGTGTGTGTGTGTGCGTGTGTGTGCGTGGATTTTAATTTCGGCTCCGTTCTTTTTAATAATAAACCCTCGTTTCTCTTAAAAACACGACTCTTCCATACACATTTTTTCAATTTTTTTTAATATATAACCTTATATTTAATGTGTAAGGTTATAGATTAAGTATAAATGTATAACTTAACTACCTGAATGATATTTTAGTATTAAAACACTGTAAATAATGCGTTAAAACTAATTTAAAACATAGTTTTACTTTAAAAAAACCCTATAAACATTTTAAAAAATAAATATAAAATATTATAAACAAAATGTAGTATTAAATATATATTTAATTGTTTTTATAACTTCAAAAATATTTCAAAATATATAAAGAATTTATTATCGCTTTGTATCGTGTATCATATATTAAATTTCTATATACTAAAACTAATAAAATTGACCTCATAACGGTAAAATAATAATAATAATAATAATAATAAATTCGAGTATTGTTCTAGTTTGTCCTACTTTTTTTTAAAAAAAAAAATCTACTTGAATTAAATCTATTTTTCTTCCGCTTTATTTTTAACAATTAATTCAATTAAATTAGAAAGTAAATTCATTAAAATCTATTAAAAAAGGAATAATAAATTAATATACAAATTGGATTTTTAGAATTAAAATTTATTTACTATAAATTAATCAACAGATATACAATAAATATCTATTAAAATATAGATTTAATCTATCTATAATCTATTATTGGTTGTTTATTTCTAGTTCTATAACTAATGACTCAATAGAACTTGTATATTTTTCTTTTATTTAATTAAAATATATATATAATGAANAAGGTTAAAAGAAATCATTGGTGGGTATAGTAGTTGATCATTGTCAACTTACTTTTGCACCACTTATGTATCCGTTTTTAATGTTAAATCAGACAGAAAAATGTTCAAAAAATTAATTACAATAAAGATTGGATTACAATTTATTACTGTTTTAGGATTTAGTTACGGTTGAGATTTGAGGTAAAGTAACATTGTAATCTGTCCTCCAGTGGGGCGTTATCCTGTGGACAGATAGGGCAATTGCTGGAGTCCTCGCCAACAGGGAGCCCAAAAGTAATCTTTTATAAATTCATTACTGCAGTAAGAATATCGAAATTTAAATTTGGGCTATATATGGAGACCCTATATTGCAGTGTGGCACAGCTCAGAACGTAACCCGCCAGTGAAGAGGTTGCATTAAGAAACGAATGAGGATACCGCGATTCTCCCGAAGAAGAATGTCTAAAGTCAACACTGTAAATGGAGCCCTCTAATTCAAATATGCCTTGGCCTCCATGAAGCTATAATGCGATCCTGTGTACCTGAGAGTAAACCAGACATATATAAATAAAGAGATTAAATGTTTCTCTTGAATATAATGCCCAAAATAAATAACACAAAAGATAATTGAAATAAAGAGCTCAATACTAAAATTTAATTTAAATCTATTGGATTAATTTACTTAATCTTATGTTGTAAAATTAACTTTATCAATAAAAGAGCTTGAGTAACCAAAGATCCTCCAACTAAACATTGAATTCTAAGATCTTGTAAGGATCTAAATTGTAGGATCTTTGACTCTTTGAATTTAAAGATTTATTTTAAGATTAAACAAATTTATTCAGAAACTTAATAGTCAATGAAATAAATATACATTACAGTAGACCCCCCTATAACACTGTAGATAATTCCGTGTTATATGAATTCCATGTTATACGAATCACTTAGATTTTACAAATACGTGTGCTGTTCACAGCCCGGCAAACGTATTTGTACAATCTAAGTGACTCGTACAATATGGAATTCATATAACACGGAATTATCTACAGTGTTATAGGGGGGCCTACTTGTATATAAATGTAAATTTATATCCAAAACATTGTAAATAGAACTTATCAATGGAAAATGTAGACTTATATATTATTATATAATATGTTAAAATGATATTAAAAATCTTATAAGGGACCAATGTGTATAATTTTTCAGTTACTTTTGACCCCTCTTTCTCTGTTGTATGCAATTATATTCTTGTAATTTTATAAAATTCCTATAAATATTTATAAGTAGTTTAATACAGTGGTTATAGTTTTATTAAGAATGCAATGTCATTATTTCATTAAAATCAATTACAATGGTCACGATTGAAAATGGTTGGACGTTAATGAGTTTATTTTAATATTATGTAATACAACAGTTAATAAAATTACCACAGTAACTTTCATTACTTTATTATACAAGTGTTTCAAGCCAGACATTAATTAAGTGTTCAGTTTAAGGGTGGTCGCGAAAAGTACAATACATTATTGTACACGTGGACTAATACAATGATGGACACTAGGCAGGGGTCGAGGCATTATCTACCTGTGCTTTTAGTGGTGTTAATGGCATTCGAATCTGTTCTTACTAGTCAAGTGAATAAACTATCAGAGAATGTTTGAGTCATTTCTTCAATGTCAGGGATTGTACACGTAATTAAAGGGGAGGAAGCTTGCCAAAAGTACTGTACATCCTTATGTACAGTACTTAGGGAGAGAGGGAATCGCTTATATATATATATATAAACTAGCAAAAAATATTTACTGGGTAAGAAAGAAAAAATATATATATAAACAACGATATTTACACGTTTTATATTATGTAAATTGGCTTTAAAATATTCACTAAAGTTGCGTGTATCACGTCCTTGACCTATTGCACTTTATTATACGGTGAACCTCAAATCTAATGTCCTACTTACAGATAAAATGAGTCTCCAATTATTCAAAGAACTAACATTTATTAAAGTCTTCTTGACAATATAGACCTGTATACATATACTGTGTATCATTACATATATTTGTAATTATTTTCAACGAACCAAAAACCGTGTAGTGTGACACGAAAATAAATTTTACAAACAAAGCAAAATTAATTTTAAAAAGTAGTAAGACACCGATAAAAAATACTGTATGGAATAAGATGCTATGGATATTAGCTTTCAATTGTTAACTTAATGACATTGTCCTTTAACGGGATGGTGATGTCTTGAGACAAGATTACACTCCTGCTCTTTGTTGGTTACTTGGAAAAACCACGAATACTAAGAAATAAATTGGGGAATATTTTCTCAAATCATTAAAGATAGATTAAATCATCATTTCCAGGTGTGACCTAAATTTAAACTAGTGTCCAAATCGACACAGAAAAAGTTCTAGAACCAGAAGTTCCTGGTCTGAATTCCAACTCATTGGGAGTTCTTAAGGCGGATGCACACGAATTAAGACGACAATGAATGCCAACTTTCAACTACGGGTTCAACCAATAACCTATTTTAATATTGAAGGTTAAAAGAAATCATTGGTGGGTATAGTAGTTGATCATTGTCAACTTACTTTTGCACCACTTATGTATCCGTTTTTAATGTTAAATCAGACAGAAAAATGTTCAAAAAATTAATTACAATAAAGATTGGATTACAATTTATTACTGTTTTAGGATTTAGTTACGGTTGAGATTTGAGGTAAAGTAACATTGTAATCTGTCCTCCAGTGGGGCGTTATCCTGTGGACAGATAGGGCAATTGCTGGAGTCCTCGCCAACAGGGAGCCCAAAAGTAATCTTTTATAAATTCATTACTGCAGTAAGAATATCGAAATTTAAATTTGGGCTATATATGGAGACCCTATATTGCAGTGTGGCACAGCTCAGAACGTAACCCGCCAGTGAAGAGGTTGCATTAAGAAACGAATGAGGATACCGCGATTCTCCCGAAGAAGAATGTCTAAAGTCAACACTGTAAATGGAGCCCTCTAATTCAAATATGCCTTGGCCTCCATGAAGCTATAATGCGATCCTGTGTACCCCCGAATCCCCTTCAGAACGGTAAACTGATGCCTTAACAGCTCGACCATCCTGTCTTCTCATGAATATATTTCATTTGTTTTATTATGAAACGTTAATTAACGAAGAACATCAATTATTTATGGCAAATAAAACTGCAGAAAATATACCCAACGAGCATGAACTGATTCTTTAACAATAGAGTCGTGCCGTCATCTATTTAATAACACGAAGAAAACACTGAAAATTCTACATAGCTAGCCCATTGACGAGGCGCAAATCCACCACTAACTAATTACCAATGTTCAGTGGTGTTATCCACCACAAACAGAGAACACAGCTGAAGCACTACTTAATGTAACACACCTAGATTTATCATTATATTTAAAACACTTTTTAAATCTAAATTTAATTTAAATAAAGGTTTTTAGTTCGTGATAATTGATGTTAAAACTCTTTTTTCTTAGATAGACAATTTACTAATATGAAGTTTATGGATTGTAATTCAATAACACTTAGTGTAATTATTTTATTTTTAACGTTTTATTAACTGGTTTCAATTGAAATATTTCGAAGTACTGTATTGTCTTACATCAATAAATTAAATCGAAGCCATTGAGAACTTAAAAAACACAAGGAAAACTAGTAGTTTCCTTAGGAAAAGTAACAATTAAAAATTAGTAATTCCCTGTTTTGTACTAGTTTTACCAGGTTCTAGCTAGTGTACTGGTTAACCTATATAAATTATAGGCCTATATACTAGTTTTTATTCACATTTTCTACTACACAAATATTTTAAACCCTTATTATTTTCATGATTTTCACTTTCTTTCTGCATACTCATTATCAAAGTGTAAATTTAATACTGAGAATGGCAATTTTATACTAATTTTGCTGAAAGAAAAGTAATTTTTAATTACCATAGAGATTTATGGTATATATACTATAAAATATGTGTCAATATAAAATACTTTCAAATCCAAACCTTTAGTTTGGGTTTGAAAATATACCCATGTATTAAATCTATATCATTAAATTA